ATTAGAGAAGAACCCGTCCAGAAGACCTATACAATTTTTTTCTCTTTAATAATTTAATTTGTGTTAAATCAGAACCACTCATCTGCACCTCCTCACGTTTGTTTTTGCACAAATATATCAGTATGTCAACAAATAACAATAAGAAAGAAACATTTTTGATTATCTCCAATTGACGAGTTTAATTCTTGATCTATTTAAAAAATAAAATATAAATATAAAAATATAACTGAGTTTAACTGCATTTACATTACAATACTTAAATTATAGGACCTTATGATGTTCATTTTTCACTTCTAAATTACTTTTTTCTGCTTTTAACATTCATTAATCATGATTAAAATATAAAAATCTAAAATAAACCAAAGACAAATTAAACTGGGATGGACTATAAATTACCTGATAAARTTAATAAAACCGACGGTGCGCTCCGGCGCCCTCTAGCGGACGCCGCGCAGCGGGAGGAGAGGGAGGCGGAGGTCCGGTTGTTATGGTGAGGCATTTCCCCCGGAGGGCTGGCAGGAGCTGGAGCGGCGGACCGCAGCCGCTCAGAGCCRCCATTCACGGGTGATTCAACAGGTAAGACGTCGCCACCGGTATTTCCTTTCAGTTCGTGTCGAATGAGTGCGTCCWGCTCGGTTTCATCCGCCTCATTTCGAATAAATGAAGTTTGGAGGATAATTCGCGAACTTCCCTCTGGCCTGACTTGTTCGTATTCGTCGTTACCGTTCAGCCAGCTAAGGTAACGTTAGCATCACGTGACTGCTCCGCTCAACAGGTGCTCGTAACCTTTATTAATACCTGAGAGCTGGAAATAAAATACTCACACAAAAGCATATTAAACGAGTTGCTCACCTTTACCTGTCGCGCTAACTTGTTTGAGCTTAAGAGTTAGCTAATCTGCTGCTCTGTGTGGTTCAGGACGATGTTAAGCCTCTTTTAGACCTTTTTTAATCATGGTTACAATTTCAGAATAACTTTAAGAGGTAAATGGTATTTTAATCACGCAAATACCCCCACAATAACCATTTAACTGTACGAACACATCACGAGCGTCGTAATATTTGCGGTACGTGAACCTGTTGACTTCCTGCAGGTCAGAGTTCAGGGCGAAGAATGCCCAYATGAGAAGGTCCCAAAAGTTGGCATCGTGTCCCCATTGTGGGTCACAAACTGATAAGTTGGGGGTCCTAATTTGGTATTTGTATTCAAATAAACTTTTAAAACAGTTCTTTTTACTACAATCAAAATATAAGAAAATAAATAGTCACAAATTTAATATATTAAGTTTGTCAAAAAGAAAAAAATTGTATATCCAAGAGACTTCTTCAGTCTGAGAGTTCCAGGCAAAATTCAGGCTTTTAAGCCCTGCCTCCATGTGACTGATACTCACATCACATGGCTATCGTTGACACCTAATTAACACCTATTGTTAACAGGGGGTGGAGTGATACTGGCAATAGCAGCGCTGTAGGAGGGGGACAACTGAAAACGGAGGCCTCCACCTCTGTTTAATGATGGACGGTCTTTCTTCACAAAAATGGCTTCTTTTACTCCTCTCTCAAACCAACGTTCCTCTCTATCAAGAATGAGAACATCCTCATCTCTGAAAGAGTGACCGCTGGCCTGTAAATGAGTGAAAACTGCAGAGTTCTGGCCATTAGATGTAGCTCGTCTGTGTTGGGACATTCTTTTGAACAGTGGCTGCTCTGTTGCCCCGATGTATAACTGGTCGCAGTCCTCCTGGCACTTAACAGCATATACAACATTGCTCTGTTTGTGCCGGGGCACCGGATCTTTGGGGTGAACCAGCCTTTGCCGTAATGTGTTTTGGGGTTTGAAAGCCACTGGGACATCATGTTTAGAAAATTGAGTTTGTGTTGACATTATATCCCTATTTATTTACCGACTGACCTAACTTTAACCCCTTAGAAGTTGGCCCTAAAATTCCTTTAAGGCCTTTTGACGTTTTTTGAAGTCGTTTGTAAGAGTATCAAGCTCTGGTTAAAAAAAAAAAACAGAGGAAGTCATCTAAAAAAATAAAAAAAACTATATTTGTGACAGGGCATTTATGATGTTAAATACAATAGTGTAATTTAAATGGGTGTGGCCTTCTTATCATAGATAAAATCCCTGTAACAAAGCAGGACATGATTAGGAAAACACTGATTAATTGACCTTTGTGGTAGATTGTTGATAATATATTCCTCTTTAATATTACTGATTAATAACTTAATAGCTGTTGGGGTTTTGAAAGCCCTTATTCGTGGTCAAAGTTCTTTTTAAGCATTTCCTTTATACTTAGTCAAATATTTCCAGGTTTTACAGCACAGTTTATTGATATGCAGCGTGATATACAGATAGAACTCATGGAAATGTTTTATTACAATATATCCACTTTCACTTTTTTCCTCCTCCATCATATTGACCTCTTGGCAGATTTACTGAGATTTCAGAGCGATTAAATGGAGCAAATCTTTACACATGACGGGGCTTACTGTAGGTCCCTCTCTTCTAGTTTTTCTCATTATGTCCTTCCTGCAAGGCCAGCAGCTGTCATCTCATTATCCTYGAGAAATATAAATAAGAAATCTAAAAACATTAATCAGATGTTTTGTCTTGACTGTTTCAGACATGAGTTTTTATTTAATTCAGCTGTGATTCTTCTGTACGTGTTCAAAAAGCTGTCTGTTTGTGTGCGTTTGGCTAGCGGCTCGGGTCACCTGGCCCGGTTTCAAATTGGACGCAGAAACGTTCCCGAMCCGTCAAGCCACGTCGACTCAGCCGTGTTCGTTCCAGCGAACGGGTCGGGAGGGTCCAAACCGGTTGTTCAGCGGTGAACGACAGTGGGCGCGACACGTGGGTGGGTTCGTGTGGCCAGATTTGAGGCTGAGCGGGGAGGGGTCCCGCCCACCTGATGAGTGTGTGTGAGTTCATAGAGCTTCATTCATTACTGAGAAAGTTGGTTCCTCAGCTGCCCTTCCTGTTGGGTCGTTAAACTGGATAAAAAAATAACAAAAAAAAATCAGAAATGCTGCAGATGTCGGATTGATGTTGGTGTTTTTTTTTTCCTTCAATGTGCTTTCTGTGTCACTGTTTTCCTCCTGTCTKGTCTGAACCAAGAAATCCCATTTCCTACATTTTTGCGGGGACTCAAATAGAAAGCATAAGAACCAGTAGATCCTTCAAATTATTCTTAAATGCCTTAAAATCATGGCTCCTGGATAATCAGCTGTGTAGACACTGACTATAGGATTATTTTATCCATTTAGTATTTTTAATGTATTGCCTTGAATTATTATTGTTGTGCTAAATGGCTTTTTATTATTTTTAAACATGCTTTTTGCCATATTTTTAGAGTTTTTTTAATGAAAGTAACTTGTTGATTTGAATGTATTGTATTTATATCTATAGGACCTTGAGGGATTACAGATCAAAACTAGCCTCCATGACTAATTCTGGCATGTTCTGTAATATGCACTGTCCATTCTTAAATAAATAAACAACAAACACTTGCATTTTTAAATAATTCACCATTAAATTGATTTAATGACTTTTTAATTTTTATTATTATATATATGGGTTTATTGATAATATACAGTATGTCCATCCATCCATTTTCTTCCGCCTATCCGGGGTCGGGTCGCGGGGGCAGCAGCTTCAGAAGGGAGGCCCAGACCTCCCTCTCCCCAGCCACTTCTTCCAGCTCCTCCGGGGGAACYCCAAGGCGTTCCCAGGCCAGCCGAGAGACATAGTCCCTCCAGCGTGTCCTGGGTCTTCCTCGGGGCCTCCTCCCGGTGGGACGTGCCCGGAATACCTCACCAGGGAGGCGTCCAGAAGGCATCCTTACCAGATGCCCGAGCCACCTCAACTGGCTCCTCTCGACGTGGAGGAGCAGCGGCTCTACTCTGAGTCGCTCCTGGATGACCGAGCTTCTCACCCTATCTCTAAGGGAGAGTCCAGCCACCCTGCGGAGGAAACTCATTTCGGCCGCTTGTATCCGGGACCTCGTTCTTTCGGTCATGACCCAAAGCTCATGACCATAGATGAGGGTAGGAACGTAGATCGACCGGTAAATCAAGAGCTTCGCTTTCTGACTCAGCTCTTTCTTCACCACGACGGACCGGTACAGCGCCCGCTTTACAGCAGACGCTGCGCCAATCCGCCTGTCGATCTCCCGCTCCGTTCTTCCCCCATTCGTGAACAAGATCCCCCAGATACTTAAACTCCTCCACTTGAGACAGGGCAACCCCCCTGACCCGGAGAAGGCACTCTGCCCTTTTCCGGCTCAAGACCATGGCCTCGGATTTGGAGGCACTGAGCCTCATCCCGGCCGCTTCGCACTCGGCCGCGAACCGCTCCAGCGAGAACTGCAGATCTCGTTCCGATGAAGCCAACAGGACCACATCATCCGCAAAAAGCAGAGATGCGATCCTAAGGCCACCAAAACGGATCCCCTCAACACCTCATACACAGTATGTGATGAGACCAAATATCCATACTCTCTAAACCAGTGTTTCCCAAAGTTGGGGTCGGGACCCAAAGTAGGGTCCCGAAACATCAAGGTGGGGTCCTGAAAAGATTTTCTGAATTAGTTACATTTTTGCCTTAGTTGTTACAAAGGAGTGAGGTTAGTGTATTTAAAATGGATAAATGTAGAATAATAAATATTGTTTCTATGCCCATGATTGGTTGACCTGATACAAATGTTTATCATACAAAAATAGTTGGGGGCACAGGTCTCTGCTACTGTTATTTTGTGGGTCAAAAGCTGAAAAGTTTGGGAACCACTGCACTTTGGTTCCMAAAGTTGGGCTTGGGACCCAATTATGGGTCATGAAGCACCTTGAATAATCTCCAGAAATCAATTTAAAAGGTAATAAAATAATTGCTGATGTAAAATTTTCCCTATAATTATTACAGAAACACAAAAACGTATAAATAAGTATTTATATTTGTGTACACGCTGTTTAGATTGTCAAAAAGCCTGTGTTTTTAGGGTTATTAACAAAGTTTATGTACTCAGACCAGTAATATTTGGGGTCACAAGTTTTTGCCGTGGATATTTTGTGGGTCAGAAGATATAAAAAGTTTGGGAACCATTGCTCTAAACTACTTTCCAGGTATTTTTGAATTTCTCTTAAACTTGTCGAAGCTTTGGATTTCTCAAATAATTATCATCAGCAAAGTATAGCACAAAGAATTAAGTAGTTTGTGTTTGGTCAGCTGTTTTTTTTGTTGATATTTATTTCTCTTTGAGTGGTTCAACATTTGTGTGTTAAAAAGCARAGATGAGTGGATTGTCCATTTCAAAAAAAGTTGTTTTGGAACAGCTCATTTGACCCAGCTCTAAAAGGAGTTGTGTAGGACTGCTGAAGAGTTGTCTCTGAAGAGCTTTTTAATGAATCAGTTCACAAAGAGTCGACCTTAGAGACTCTATTACTATATCACAACCACACTGGCTGACTTGTGACACATGCAGGTTGAAGAATGGAATAATCAGGCTGTTGTGGCTGGGTATGGTTCTTCCACATGCTACCGAGGCTGCCGTTTGTTAAACAAATACGTTGGAAAGTTAATAATAGCTCTTTTTTTTTTTTTTTCAAAAATATCAAAAGCATAATCAGTGAGCTTAGAAGTAAAGCAGATTATTTCAAACTGTGTTGTAACATTTATCTATAAACAATATACTTCCTGTTTGACAACTTCTGGTGACATTTTTGATGTTCTTAGTGTCACATATTTACCCCGGAAAGTTGTGTGGGATCGATGCATTGTGTGKTTTTTTTTTTAAGTTTTGTGTATACAGTTTTAGCCTGGTTTAAACCAGACCCTGTCCTTCACTTTGCTTCGTACAAGGGTCTGGACTGAATCGATTTCTTGCAGGAGGCGTGGCCTYTGCTGAAGCWTGTRTGTGTTGTCGGTGTGAAGGAGGCTAAGCTAAGAAGCTAACCGGAAATCGCGTGTGCTGTAAACAACCCTACTGAGAGGAGAAATATACCGAGCCGAACGAGACGACTGTAAATGAGAGCTGCTGCTTTGTGACAAATTTATTTTAATTTGGAAGCCTTATCAATACGGACTGGCTTCATTCACTTCCTCCACTGCCGTGTGCTAAACTAACTAGCAGACACTGCGCAGAACATCGAGGTCATTCAAAACTCCACCTTCTGTTCTCTGATTGGCCCAGGTAAAATAAACTACAAGCAGACACTGCACAGAAAATTGACGTTCTGTTCTCTGATTGGCCCGGCTAATAATCTGCCAGCGAAATCCATCTCAATAGGAGAAATGACAGACGGAGCAGTGAAGGGAAACTAGAATTGAGCGGAGCTGCGTAGGAAGGCGAGGGCCAGGCTAATCCAGTTTCAGTCTTTAAGGGAAAACTTACATTTTTGTGTGTCTGGAAGTCAAGGTGAAGTAAAGCAATCAATATATTATGGTTACAAACGATTCTCATAGCAACATTTTTTTTATTGTTGGACTGTTAGTGAGCTGTTTGTTTTCACAACACAACAGTAAACATCATAGTGTCCGTGGCTTTCCTCTGACAGTCTGCTCTGATCAGCTTTGGCAAACGYTTGTGTCGTCTGGCTCACTTTATAAAGACGGCTAATCTGTAAACAGACTTTTGTGGCCTCGGTGTATGTTTGTGTTTATAATTGTATTAGAGGCAGATATAGATATTTAATGTGCCAAAGTTGACAGATTCACTAATGTACTTTTTGTTTACTAGTTATTTTCTAATATTACAGGATATAAATTCAACCTTTGATGTAGCATGGTACTAATAACCAGTTCTTAAATAAAACAGTTGATGAGTTTACAAACAGTAAGAAGTAATGCGTTTCCAGGAATAAGTTTAAGTTGTTAATGAGATTGTTTTTTTTTTCCTTCAGGCAGCAGACTCCGTCCTGTTAAAGCTGTGTTGGAGATCATTTGTTTGTCAAAGGAAGAGACAAGTGCTGCTTTCCCCAGAGGGATTTTTAGGAGTTTTTCTTCACCAAACGTCCTTCAGTCTGTGTCAAACAAAGTAATATGAAGTTTCAGTCTTGCGTAATGTCCAAATGTACTTTTTTTAGGAGTGCGTTTAAAGCCTATTATTAGACTGTTTAATGATGGTGTGTTCATTTCTCCCACTTTCCCAATTCCTAAACCATCAAACTGCTTATCTGTGTATGAAATGTATTCTGACCTCAGTAAAGAGCTAACAAGAGCTTTTTTTTCTTTTGAGCTACCAGCAAAGACCTAAAGTGAATATTAGTAGTTTAAAACAAACAGCACTCTGCTATCCACCACTATTACTGTTGTTCATCTACTTGTGCAAGCGCAGCAAAACTATTGACTGCAGCCGTCTGTACTGCGCGTGCATGATTTCACGCCTCTGCTGGGGTTTTTCTGAAAAACCCCACCCTGAGACCTGGACAGCAGTTCACTCAGCTTTCATTTTGTTTCTATATCGAGATAATATTTAAGTAATTTTGGCAAGGATCTGAGGACGGTTATTGCAAAAAAAAAAATCAGGCTATGAGTTAGGGTTTGGCCAAATTGTATGGTGTAATTACTATCAGAAAAACAGAAAAACATTAATCGGACTGGAGATTTTTGATCAGTCCGCTCGATGCTCCTCTCCACTTCAAATATGAAGAATATTTTTAAAAAAGTTCTGTAATTTATTTATAATATCTCTGGGTTTACTTRGTCTATCAACACAATTTAAAATTCCATATAATGCCTGAAGTCTGAACTTTGGACACAATTTGAAACAGATTTTTATGGAGCGCAAATCTTTCCGTTGAAATTAGTCACGTGACTAGGAAATAAATGTATTCAGGGACTCCAGGGGATTAATCGTCATATTAATCGGCTAAATACCACAATTAATCCTGATTAATTTTTTTGCCAATATCGCCCAACCATATGAATGTTATGTTCCTTAAGAGTTTGTCAAAAATAAAAAAAATTGTTGACCAGGCGTAGCTTTGACCTTACTCACCTGTAACTCACTTCTTTATAGGTAAACAAATTAGCTTCCTGTTGACATTTTAAAGCCCTCTTTATGGAGTGGATGAGTTAAAATAGCCTCACAATCTTGAGTGTTTTAAATATACGTAATGTTTCAGCCGTGTACTGTCCAGCATGCATTGTTTTAGTGACTGATGCATACAGTGACCTTACCAACCTTTTAAGGGAAGGCTTGGTTTTCCATCAATCTAAGGAAATCCTTGCATAACTTCTGACAATGGGTACGAGGTCAACTATCTCAAAATAGTTCATTCACTTTGGCAGTTTTAAGCCTGACAAACCTTAAAGGGAGCTGCAAAGACAGCTTAAAGCACGTAGGGGTTTTGAATTTTAATTTTGCYGTTTCGTTTATACCACGTAACAAACTCTAGTGGGTTACATTAAAAAAAATCAGAAATTATAAACATCAATAAGATGATCTGTCCTGGAGGAACTCTCTAACTGGTTGTTGTTGACCTGATTTCTAAACYACCAGGGTGGAAACATCACCCACCTGTACAGGTGCTGGCTGTTTGCTGCAGTAGCTCTGCTGTCTTATCAGTCACTCTCTCTATCTTAGCGAGTGCCTCTGGTTGACCTTCCTCTCAGCACACACAGGCCAAGGCCTGAATAATATATGACCAGCCTGGAAAGAGGTGTGTGTGTGTGTGTGTGAGTCATGTAACTGTACTGGAAGGWAATGAGAGCCATCTTGATGAGTTTGCAGGTGTTTGCACAAACACTGACGGTTACTTATTTGCGATGATTTGACCTTTTTTTTTAACCTCCGTCGTATGCTGTGGGTATCCCCAACCCATTGAAGTGTGTTGGACTGCAGCGTCAATCATTAATGAAAAGCGTCCCACTGTCTCAGGTTTCCTTCGGGAGAGAAGTTGGGAGAGGAGCGAGCGAGGAGAAGGAGCTCAGGGGTTAAAGATACCAGGAATGGGAGTGCAGTATGCATTGTACTGTAACGTAGCGCTCACATTTTCTCTCTCTTTGCCCACAGAATGTGTCACCAAAGAACAAGTCTCTCTTCCTCTGAAGACCCCTGAGAGTACATCTGCATCAACAAGTTCTGGAGTATTCTCAGTTTATAACCCTTTAGAGCTGGAGGTCTGGTCCAAGTCCTGCACATTTCTCCTGTTACTGGATTTATTGTTCACCGCATGGATTCTCAAWTCCYGTCCCWCTTTTGGGTCTAGGTCTTGGACACRATCAGCACAAATRTGAATTTAATGTGAGAGGAGAGTCCGACCAGGAGAGAAGTTTGACTTTGCTTTTCAAGTCGCTGTTTTCTCTCATCCCCAAGTGTTTTTAATGCAAGTTTACCTACAGCTGAAATGGATGGAAGGACTGAAAAGTGGCTGAAATCTGCAGCTTGGATTAAGTTCTGGACATCGTTCCACCACCAGTTCATTTTTGCACATTAAGAGCTRTAATTAAAAGAAAACATTAACTTTTCTCTGGAATTATGAAGAGACTCACAGCAAAAATGACAATTTGTTAAACCCAGTTTAAATATATTCCCCTCTTCACTGGATTTAGTGAGTTTTATTGTGTTGTTCAGGCTGTGATGTAGGCCTGTTTGGCCTGACAGAAGGCTGAACAGGCTTACATGAAGTTTTGACCTCCGAAAAAGGATTTATTTCCCCCAGAGGCTGAGCGAAACAAACTGCAATAAAAACAATACTTCCAGCAAAGCAGCTCACAATGGCAACGGATCACGGCGAGCTGCTGGCYGAGATGGCGACCGTGGGGCGTCTGAGCGCCACGGAGCGCCTAAAGCACGCCCAGAAGCGCCGGGCTCAGCAGCTGAAAGCTTGGGCTCAGATGGAGAAGGACGCAACGCGTGGGTCCAGGGCCAAAGCGGACAAGAGGAAGACGCGCACGAACAGAGTGACTTTTCCCGACTCCGTCACCCTGCTGGACGCAGCTGCACGCAATGATGTGGAGGAGGGTAGGTTAAAAATACAGAAAACATGAGAATATTTACATAAAGGTATTATCACACACTGCCTGAGGCGAGAGGGCGTGTCTCTCCTGGGTTTTGTTACATTTGAGGAACTTTACTTCCATGTTTAGTCCTTATTAGAACCAAAGCCTGGTTTTAATACAGTGGAACATCATTTTTAGATTACAGGTTAGCTTTGGTGTGATGATGTGAATTCAGCTTTAAGTTTGAATTAAGCAGGTACTACACGTGTTTACATTTAGGCTAAAGAGTGCCTGTGACATCAAATTTTTGCTATAAATACTAATGCATTTTTGGAAGGATAACTATGACGACATATTGCAAAAAAAATTCGTGCTGCTGAGATGAACAATGGATGAATTATTAGCATGTGAAGTGACAGGAAGTGATGTCATGAGAGTAATGTCCTCGTGTGAACAGAGCAGTGCTAGAGAAGAATCTGATATTCTTTAGACCATTTTGAGTCACTTTCAATGAGAGATGAAGAAGAGTCAGAGTTCAAATAATATTCTTTCAGTAAATTAAAACCATGGAGTTCCTTTTTCCTAAATAAAACTCATGATGTCACTTCCTGTTGCATTTCATCTTGGTCAAATTAAAAAGAAAATATGCCAGTTATGTACACAAAGTGTAAAATCGTGTATATTATACCAATTTTCTTAATTATAAATGTGTTTTCTTTGACTTTTTGTTTTGAAGGATATTCACATCACAGGCACTGGCTTTAAAGGGATCCACGATTAGTTGTAACATTAGACTATTTGATAAACATTTATTATAACTGTAAAATAAAGACTGAAAATACTGTAGTCTGTTCAGTTTATATAGTTTTTAAACTAAATTTTTAAAAATATATTACATGGACTGAGCCATTTTATTTACACGCAAAGCATTCTGGGTAGATGATGACGTTGATGGGTCCTCGGTGCGAGCGAGATATATCCACCCTGAAGGTTAATCTTGCACATTATCTGAAAATATAGATGGAGGACAACAGAGCTGCTCCATGGAAGAAGAACCTCAGCTTAGCCTGTTAGCTTTAGCGTTAGCCACAATGCTATCACCATATATATGTATTAGCTCAGCGCTACACATTCTCCTCTTGTCACTGAGGTCCTCCATCCACATGACAGAGAGGGGAAAGCAAAAATGACTCAGCTGCAACTGAAAATATGGATGGAGGACCTCAGTGACA